TGTGTGTGTGTGTGTGTGTGTGTGTGTGTGTGTGTGAGTGTATGTATGTGTGTGTGTGTGTGTGTGTGTGTTGTTACTGTTGGTGTAAATGGCTTTTTTGTTGTTGTTTTGATTTTACGTTTTTTTTTCTAGAGAAAAGTATTTTTCATAGACTGATGACTTGCTGTTGTAGTTGTTTGTGTTGTTGTTGTTGTTGTTGTTCTTCTTCTTCTTCTTCTTCTTCTTCTTCTTCTTCTACTTCTTCTTCTTCTTCTTCTTTTTCTCATCATCATCATCATCATCATCATCATCATCATCATCTGCTAATGAAGCCAGAGAGATTGAAGGAGACAGACGACCTGCAACATACAGAGAAGTCTTTCCAATCATCAAGAGGGAAATCAGAGACCAACCATGCAGAGCAAAGTACCAGCACCTGGATGATGTTTATTCTGGGTACTCTTTTAAGCGGGAACAAAATATTACATGTCGCTGGGACCAGGTTGAGCTAGCGAGGCTGCCGTCGAACCATCATTGGAGTTTAAGATGGTAAAAGAACTTTGTAAATGAAAAACTCAGCCCATGTTGCCGAAGATGCAGCCATGAAAAGGAAGATATCAAACATATGTTTGAATGTCCAGGAACAATGGCAATTCGAATGTAGTTATTTGGACGAATGGAGGTGCCGCTAAGTATATTGACAATGGAGCCGAAAAAGAGCCTCGCTCTCGCTCGAAGATTTCTACGTGGAGTCCACCAGGCCCATTAAGGAAACCAAAAAAAATCATCATCATCATCATCATTGTTTGGAAAGCAGAGTAGGAGGGAGAGTCTTTTTTGAATTTCAGATAAAATGACGTAACAATATAAAATGTTTAAAATTTGGTTCATAGACACAGCTTAACGTTTCGCCTCTTGGGCTTCCTCAGGAGCAACTGAAAAAAAACCTAAATGAGCGCTATATACTAGCAAGGAAATGGGCCTAACAAAGAGGGTTTTCAGATCATCATCATCATCATCATCATCATCATCATCATCATCATCATCATCATCATCAGATAGATCCATGGTTTCTTGAGAAATAGACAAGCCCGTGTTCGCCTGCATGGAGAAACAAGCAAGAGCCATAATTTCAAGCAAAGGCTTCTCCAAGGAGCTGTACTATCACCGCTGCTGTTTATATTCTTCATAAACAACCTGGCAGAATCCCTCCCAAACCCTGACTCGCAACAACTAACCTCCGCCAAGCTGATCTACTCAATGTTCGCTGATGACTGCACAATACTGGCCAGTCACGCAAAGAGACCAAAGACAAATGAAGCGACACAGTTGATTGTGGATATGGTTGTGAAATGGAGCAATGAATGGAAGCTTACCTTAAATGCAACCAAGAGTGAAGTGTGCTTCTTCTCAACATAGGTGAAGGAGGCAACGTGGCAACCAATAATTCAGATCGAAGGGAGAAAGATACCATTCAACCCCACTCCACGTCTGCTGGGCGCCTACCTGGATAGACAGCTAACCTTCAACAAGCACATTGAGGAGGTGTCCAAAAGTGCAACCTCTAAAATGAAGGTTATCGGTGTTGTCAACAACTCAAAATGGGGCTGGGGTAAGGAGTCGCTCAAGAAAATATATCAGATTTTTGTGAAAAGCAAGTTGGATTATGCTGCCCCAGCGTGGCAGCTTTGGCTGAGTGAGACTAGTCAAAGGCCCTGGACAGAATACAAAACAAAGCCCTCCAATTTGTATCAGGTCAGCTGAAAACAACACCAACAGAAGCGCTGCGCTATGAGACCAGAACTGAGCACTACACCACCAAAACAAAAAGAACATGCCTCAAGTCTATAGAGATGGCCAAGAGATTACCAGACAACCATCCTAAAAAGAAAGCCCTTGATCAAGCAGTCAAGCCTAAAAACCGCAGGAAAAGTTGGTTTCGGATGGGTACCGATCTAGCAGACCACCTCCCCTCTAAAGCAGAGAATCGATGGCCGATCAATCCGGTGAGAGCTTGTCCATGGGAGACCCATGGCGAAATCGAAATTCGGACAGAACTGAGAGGAGTAAAAGGAAAAGGTGATGATCCTGTAAAGGTACGTGAAGCAGCTGAGGATGTGATCAAAGAGGTTGGTGTGGATGTGACAATTTTCACCGATGGATCGGCGGTCGCAGGATACGGCGAAGGTGGAGCAGCAGCTGTAGTGATAATTAATGATGAACCACCACGAACAGAAATGATTAAAACTAAAGGTGCCTTCCTTACATCATCTTATGATGAGGAATGCCAGGCAATGATGTCTGCTGGACAATGGATTGCCGACAATTGCCACAGTAGGACCAATGTGCTGATCTTGACTGACAGTCAG